TTGAAATCCTTCAGCCCCCTTCAACACTTAAAAAAGCCAAAACTCCACACTAATTGCCAGACTTCTTCCCACAGCTTAATACATGCCACGGCCTCGGGCAATTAGCCAAATATATTCTAAAGAGCCCAGTCTCTGAGGTTATTTCTAAAATTAAAAAAAAAAAATTATCCAAATATAAAACTGGAGCAGTCCCTCTTGGAGAAGCAGGGATGCTTCATTCTGTACGTACCCAGCCAGGCTAGGTATCTGMTGGGCACACACGGAAGGCTGGGATTACACTACAAGAATACAYATACGTGCCAGTGCAGTAGCACACATCTGTAATCCCAGCAACTCAGAAGGCTGAAGCAGGAGGATTGCAAGTTCAAGGCCAGCCTCAGCAACCTAGTGAGACCCTGTCTCAAATTAAAAACTATAAAGGGTTGGTGATGTGGCTTGGTGGTGGAGGGCCCATGGGTTCAATCCCCGGTGGTGGTGGTGGTGCTGATGGTGGTGATAGCGATAGTGAAGAGGAGGAGGAGGAGACAGAGGAAGAGGAGGAGGAAGACGACAACCATCACCACACATAGAGCATAAGAGAACATAACATACTCAGCCCTTTAAATTTTAGGCACCCAGCAATTTCTTAGAACTTGCACTTTAGAACAGGGTTCTTCAACCTTGGCACTGTTGACATTTGGAGCCAAATAACATTTGGAGATAAATCGACATTTGGAGATAAGTCTGTTATGGAACTTTCTCCTACACACAGTGGATATTCAGCAGCTTCTCTGGTCTCGACTCACCAGAGGCTGGCAGCACACCACAGCCCTCCCTCAGTTGTGACAAATTAAAAGGTTCCCAGGTCTCCAGACATCATCAAATATCCTCTGGGGGGGGCTCAGTGGTAGAGCACTCATCTGGCATGTGTGAGGCACTAGGTTCGATCCTCAGCACCACATAAAATAAATAAATAAAGGTATTATGTCCGCCTACAATTAAAAAAATATTTTTAAAAAAATCCTCTGGGGTGAGGAAGGTCACAAAACTATCTGGTGTGCCACTGAAAACCACTGTCCTAGTAAAGCATATACCACTTTTGCTAGAGGCTAAAAAGCAATTTCCTCTCCTAAAATACAAARAACCTTTCTTTTGGGCTGAGTCTGAAATATGCATAAACATCTTTAACTACATAAACATGGTACTTAGGAAAGTCTCAGGGTAAAATCATCAGGAGCCAGGCATGGTGGCACACGCCTGTTTTTCCAGCTACTTGAGAGACTGAGGCAGGAGAAACTCAAGTTCAAGGCCAGCCTGGGCAGCTCAGTGAGACCTTGTCTCAAAATAAAAAGGCCTGGGAATGCAGCTCTGTGGTAGAGTGTCACTGGGTTCAATCCCTAGTACCAAAAAGAAAAAAAAAGAAAAAGAAAAAAAATTAGAAGAAATTCCAATTGAGGGACTTTTTACAGTGTGTGACCAATTCTCCTTAAAACTGTAAAGGTCCTTAACTTGTCCAAAGAGCCAAAGGAGACATGACAACTAAATGAAGTGTGCTGTCCTGGATGGGATCCTAGAACAGAAAAAGGACACTCAAGTAAAAATAGAAAATCTGAATCAACTATGGGTAATGTATCGATATTGGCAGTGATCACAAACACACACTCCACAGTAAAGTGAGAGACAGTCAACAGGGGAAGTGGGCGCAGGGTTTACAGAAGCCAGACATTTTATCTGTAAATCCARAACTAATCTAAAAAAATAAAGYTATTTTAAAAGAATTTTTTAAATGGGTAAACGGGAGAATGGGAGAGAAGGGGTTAAAACAAAAAGAAAAAAGTGGCCCTCGCCTGCTCGGCTGCCTTCTGGAAACCCTCCAAAGGAAGACACCTGAACGGGCTGTGGCTTAGGGGAAGAGATGGGATGGCCAGAAAGAGAGTGARAAAATAAATTTCTATTGTCAGAATAAGGAAGAAAATAAAACTGTTTTGTCTTCTTGTAACTTGGGGTSGGGGGGAGAATTGCTATGTTTCTATATGAATTTTGATATGAATATCAGTATGCCTTCTGACCTCTTCTTCCTTGAAGACACAACTCAAGGGTCAGCTTCGGGAAGAAGGAAGCATTCCCTGCATCTCCAAGGACACAGGCCCTACCTAGGCCCCTGGCTGTCACTCATCTTGATGAGTGACACCACCCATCCAACACTGGTCTACCACTGGGCCCAGGCAGGTACTCAGCCACTGGGGCCCTCTGACTCGCCCATCTGTGAATCARCAGCCTTTAAACCCACTGCTGGCTGCTAAACAAATGGTAAGTGAATGGACTCAAGCCGGGGGCACGTAGGTTCTCGCAGACTTCAGCTGGAGGAGGCTAGGAATGGTACAGCCCCAGACAGCACAAAGAAGGAAAAGTCAAGTTCATGGCCCTGTGTGCAGGTGCTGGAGGCCTGAAGAGAGGATGGGGTACAACATAACACACGTGCAACACTTGAAGAAACTTAGTGTTCATCCAGTGGCCTTGTTTTACAGAGAAACCAAAGCCAAGAGAGGTTAAGTGACTGGTTCAAGGTCACAGAGCCAAAGGAGACTAGAACCCAGAGCTAAATTACCCACCTCCATCTGTATCTATGACCAATAGATATTTAATAATAATAGCTACTCTCCACTGAGCACCTGATGAGAGCCAAGCCCAAGCTAAACCCCGCCCCCTGCAACCTCCCTACTGCAGCTGAGGAAACTACTGTTGGGGAAGAAAGCACTCAGGCTGTCACCCTCCAACACCCCCGTGGATCATCACACAGAGCCCAAACTCTGGTCCCGTGCTCATCTTGATCATCCAATGCTTCAGCTGCAGGCACTACTCTGAACACCCTTCTCAGATGGACTAATTTATTCCTCACCAGAACCCGAGCACAGATGAAGAAACCGAAGCTTCATGACCTCTTCAGTTCTCACAGGCAGCAAGCAGCTAACTTTGTTCTTATAAAAACTAAAGATGCAATTATTATTCAACCCAGCAATTGTACTCTTGGGCACTTAGAGAAATGAAAAATGTATGTTCACACAAAAAACCCTACATGATATTTACAATTTATATTTACAATTGCTTTATTTATACTGCCACAGACTGGGGGCAGGTCAGTCCTTTCGACGAGCAAACTATGGTTAAACAGTTTATTGTACTTAAACACTAACAAGAAGTGTGTCATTGCCACAGTTCACACAACCGCCTGGATAAAACTAAGGGGACTGCCAGGCGTAGCAGAGCATGCCTGTAATCCCTGCAATTGGGAGGCTAAGGCAGGAGGATGGTGAGGCTAAGGCAGGAGGATGGCGAGTTCAAAGCGAAAGCGAGGCGCTAAACAACTCAATGAGACCCTGTCTCTAAATAAAATACAAAATAGGGCTGGGGATATGACTCAGTGGTTAAGGGCCCCTGTATTCAATCCCTGGTACCAAAAAAAAATTGTGGGGATTATAWTGGGGAGGGGGGGCAATCAGTCCCAAAAGATTACATACTCTATGATTCCATCTAAGTGAATTTTTTCAAGTGACAAAAACAGAAATGGAGAACAGTAAATACTCCAGTGGCTGGGGACAAGGCAGCATCAGGAGGGAAGACAATATAAAGGATTCTTATGAACTGTTCTGTACCTTGATTGTGATGGTGGAGACAAAAACCTACCTGTGACAAACTATTACTCACACACACTAGTAAGAATAACCTGTGGGCTATCAGTATATACTCCCTATGATGCYGTACTGTCCTTTTATAGAATGTTACCATTGGAAGAAACCAGGTGAAGGGTATGCCAGATCTCTTTGTATTAACTCTTAAAACTACATGTTATTTCCATAAAAACTCCAATTAAAAAAAATCTTGCCTATCTCAAAGCTGGGCTGGATGAGATTCTATATTTCTTTCATCTCTAAGAGCTGTAATTCCCAGTGTCCCCAAAGTGAGTCTTCTTTCCATCACACCATACTACATCTTCAAAGCCAAAGCAAAATTTGGCTAAAGGAAACTTTAAAAATCTTCATTAACTACTTCAAATTCACTCTGAAAATTATTCCAAATGGGTTTTATTTCCCTAAACTGACTTCTGGCCAAAAGATGGAAAATATGATCCCATAAAATGTTCTTTTGTGCCACCTCCACTGCCGCCCSTCAAATAATCAATATATAATATCAATTCGGAATCTTCCCTGAAAACAACAACGCAGGTGGATTATCACTGGTCCTTTAAACCAGTTTCCAAGTGGCCAGCGGCTACTGGTTTAGGGACTGAGACAGACCCTTGGTCAAAGCATCACCTTGGCCTGGCGCCTTAAACGTGAGATTCGCCTTTCCCATCTATAGATGGGATGTGGGCACCTCAATCAACCTCCACGCCTGGCACTCTGGTCCCCTTTTCTTGCGCTTAGTAACAACTCAAGCTCACTCCACGTTCACCTGGCCACAAAGCGCTCATCCACTCCCCTTCCTCAATGAGGTTAGTAGATAACCCGACCCGACCCGACCCTCCCAGGTCAGACAGAACATCCCCTCCCCTCCCCTCCCCCCGCCCCCGCAGGAGGAAAGCGATCAGCCTCCAGATCCTGCCACCTGCCCGCAGCCCCGCTCCTGGGCCGCCCGGCGCCGGCCAGGCTCGGGCTGCAGCCACTGTCACTGCTGCTCAATAACAATACCCAGCGGTGTGGAGAGGGGTGGCTGTCCCCCAGCGGATGCCCGTGGACTCCACCGGGCAGCCCAAAGGGCTACCGATGCAGATTCCTAGCTAAAAATCCCAAGAAAAATACAAAACATCTTTCCCGGCAGAAAGGGAAGAGTTGCGAAGTTTCTGGAGTGGCATTTTTCCACGTTCCCGAAGCCGCTGGGCAGAGACGATGCTGCCCGCAGCCGGGGTACGTGTGGGAGTACGAGGATCACGATGCCCAGGAGGTCAGCTCGGCTGGCCCGCTTCCCAGCGGCGGGCGGGAGGTACCCCGAGCTGCAGGGCAGCGGGGCGCCGCCGCACTCACCGTCCGTGCTCCTCTTCGCCTCCTGGTAGCGCTCCCACAGGTAGCGCTTCATGTCCGGGGCGGTCCCGGGCGCGGTGCACAAGGGCCGAGCGGGGCCCGAGCGCGGCCGCCTTCCGGCCGCAGTCCCGCCGCCACCGCCCCACAGGGCCGCCACGGCCGCCGCCCTCACCCCGGCCCCGCGGGCCACCGCCGCCGCCGCCGCCGCCGCAGTGGTCATGCCTGAGGCTGCCGCGCTGCGAGTGGCGCGGCGGGACCAGCCCGGGTCGGCGCTCGGCCCCGGGGCGGGCAGCTCCCTACGTGGAAGCACGTGGCGGCGCGGCCCCGCCCTCCGGCGGCCGCGGGCGGGGGACCTCGGGGGGCGGGGCGGAGTCAGGGGCGGGGCGCGACCGCAGCTGCCCSGGCTCTGCGCCCAGCCTGCCGCGGTCACTTCCTGACCCTGCGGCGTGTGGAGGTGGCCGTGCAGTGGTGTGGAGGCCACATGAAAGGTGATGACTTGTCGCCGACCCCGGGCCACGAGATAGGACCCTAGTGCTGCCCGCCGCGCTCCACTGCACCTCCTTCCTGCCTTCTGTGGAGGTCTCCCAAATCTAGCTAAAGGGATAGTGTAACCCCCACCCCCATCTGTTCTGTCCCTGTCCTGAAGGTGACCTTCCTCCGCCTTCTTGGCCTCTGAAATCTAGACCTCCCCTAGATCGTGGAGGCCACCGAGGACAAGCCCTCATTCCCAGCTTGGATCCATSCAGGCCCGCCTTTTAAGCGGTGGCTGTCCAGAGGCCCCACACATTCCAGCCCCTTAAATCCCTACGTTTGAAGGGCACCCCATGGCCCTGAGGATGCTTGGCCTGGAAGGCCGGTGCCTCACCCTAGATTTGCACTTAGAGAGAGGTCCTCTGGACACATCATCGAGCTCCAGCCCACGCCTACATCCTAATGCCTGCTCTGCTTCTGGGCTTAGCTGCACCTGTTCAGTGCCTTGTGGTTCCACAGAAGCCCAATAAACCGTAACCTCCCCACCAGGCGCGTTTCTACGTGGGCTGACTCAAGACTCTGCTCCTGCAGAACAGACCTGTGTCGCCCTGKACTTCCCTGGATTTCCCAAGCTACCCATGTGACCACTAAAGCCAGACGCTAGGGGCTGGGGGAAGGGGAGATAACTCAAGGCTGGCACTCTGCCAGGGAGACGGTACTACCATATGTGAAATAGGTGGGGCACACTTTAAGAAAAACYAAGGCCTTAGTGTATGCTCACAAGAGGGCTGAAGGAATGGGGAGATGTTTCATGTTAAAAGGTTAGTGACAATAATAACTGCCATTAACCGAAGATGTTCTCTGCCTTCTCGCATGCAGTCCCCTCAGTAATCTTGAGGAATACGTGCCATAATTTCATTTTACAAATAATCAAACAGAAGCTAAAAGAGGTAAAATAAATTGCCTAAAGTCACAAAGCTAAGCCCCCTTCCAGATGCTTCCTAACTCTGTAGGTAGGTTTTATTTGTTTGATAGGAGAGAAGGGGCCAGTTACTGGTTAATGTTTTACAAATCACTGATAAAATGGAGGCGAATAAAATGCTCAAAATAAATATAACAAATCCATGGGCTCAGTACTTTAAACTCTGTTTTTAATGTATAAACTAGAATACTTTTCTTATGTTTAATAAAAAGGTATGATGATAGTAATTACAAATTTTGTTTAGATGAAAAATCCATAAATTCAAAATGAGTAAACTATAGCAATGTAAAAATAACACAATTAGAACTTTAATAACATTGCTTCTATATTTTTAGATATGGGACCCTGTGAGATCAATATGAGATCAATACCATAGAAATATAATTCACTTAAAAACTGTTCTTTCAGTTAAAATATTTCAAGGGGTTTAAAAAAATCAAATCTCTAGGCCTTGATTATTATTACTCCTAAGTGTCTTAGAAGAAAATATATAATTAAAAGTACTTAAGTGGGAAAAGATTACACAAAGAACCCACAATGTTTTGTTTTGGTTTGTTTTTATTYCTTATTGGTTGAGTTCTTCAACGATTTTGTTTCTGCTTGAGATTTTCTCTTCAAAATACTCTTTGGAGGAGTCCAGTTGTAATCTGGATTATGAAAAAGCCACTTTTCTGATATGAGCTCAGATATGGAGTGCCAGGAATCATTTGTGGTAAATGGCCCTAGTAGGGGAGAATAGTAAATTGTAGTGACATGGCCTTCACCACTCGTACTTTCATCAGACAAAATCCTCTGCTTTGAAAGCTTTACTAAGCCACTCTTTGTACCCGAAGGTAAAACCTCTACGGAATAATCTTTCTTTTTCTTTGATGCTTCCTTTCTTGGGCTATTCCATATTTCAACATTATTCTGTGCCTTCTCTTGGGTCTTTTTCCCAGCAGAAATACAAATAATGGGACTGGAGATCTTTTTCCTTATAGCATACTTTGATTTATCCGAAATCTGATGTGGTGCTAACTGCAAGCTCTTAGCCCTTGTTAACTTAGCTGCATTGATGCACATCGCTGAGCTTACTGTGTTAGAACTCTGAGCACTGTGGTAGTCTAATTTAAGCAGGTGTTCCCATAATAAGGAGCCATTCTTAGAACCCTCAGGAGATTGCTGTAACATGCCTAGAGGCCAAAATTTCCTACTGCGGGTCYGCTCAATTTCCTTCAGAAGGCTGCAAAAGATCAAAAGTTGTCAAGAGGTCACTACATAATGTTAATAATCAGAAGTATATTTATTTTTGAAATGTGAAACAAACTCACTGCATGATTCCATGGATGGATGAATGAGAAGGTCCCAGATAGGTCTCCCTTAAATCAAGTGACCTGTACAAATAGCCTATTGCCTCAATCATGACATGATGACAAGAGTCACTTGTCAATAAATAACCTGCTGGATATATAAAAATAAGAATATTAGAATTTTTTTTTAATTTTTGAAAAGATTTCAAAAAATTTATAGAAGGTAGAATTGGAATGTTACCTGTGGTAATATTGTGCCAAAACCATTTAACCTGTTTCTAATCATAAAGATGTAATAAGAAGCTGGTGATATGGCTCAATGATAAAGCACTTGCCTAGCATGCACAAGGCCGTAGGTTTCTTCCTCCCCAGCAAATATATATAATTCTGTATCAAAAAGTAAGCAGTATGGGGGCTGGGCTGTAGCTCAGTGGTAAAGCACTTGCCTAGCATGTGTGAGGTACTGGCTTTGCACCCCATAAAAATAAATATACTGTGTGTTCATCTACAACTAAATATTTTTTTWAAAAAAGTAAGCAGCTATAAAGGACAGTACTAGGATACATGGGAAATATGGATATGGACTATAGAGTAGATAAAAGCCTTATGTAGTAGTCAGATTTCCTGGATTTGATTATTATATCATGGCTATGTAGGGGAATGTCTTTGTACCCAGAAGACACATGCTAAAGTATGTAGAGATAAACGTGTTATGCTTGAAACTTTCAGATGTGTGGGGGGAACTGTGTGTGTGTGTGTGTGTGTGTGTGTGTGTGTGTGTATTTTAAAAATGCAAATGTAGCAAAATGTTAACAAACTGGTGAAGCCAGGCACAGTGGTGCACGCCTGTAAACCCAGCAGCTTGGGAGCCTGAGACAGGAGAATCAGGAGGTCAAAGCCAGCCTCAGCAAAAGTGAGGTGCTAAGCAACTCAGTGAGACCCTGTCTCTAAATAAAATACAAAATAGGGCTGGGGATGTGGCTCAGTGGTCAAGTGCCCCCGAGTTCAATCCCTGGTACAAAAAAAAAAAAAAAAAATGGTGAATATAGGTGAAGGTTATACAGTGGAGTTTTTGTTTGTTTAATCAGTCTTAAAACCTTTCAATAGGTTTAAATTTTTCAAAAATAAAAAATCCCCTGAAATTTGAGTTGTAGATGGGAATACGAGAGATGGTCTTTAACTCTCTTGAAAATCTGTTCTCAGAGTCCTCTAGCAGCTCCCCTGTCAACCCCTGGAGCATGGTAGACAAGATTTTCCATGCCCTAGGCTTCCCTGATTCCTCCAATGTCACCTGCAAACCTCCCCATTCCAGAGTTTCATATAACCTGATTCATTTTTCCTTGCCTTTGTTCATGCTGATCCTTCTTGGTTAAAACACTCTTCGTGACCTTCATCAGGCACTAGTCAGGACTCTCAGTCAAGTCACTATCTAGAAGGTCTTCCTGATTGCCCCTCATGTGCTTCCCCACGCCCTCGCCAGTGTCTGTCACAGTGCACAGCCCATTGGATCACAGCCATCTTTATGTGCCTGTCTCCCCAATGAGTTGCCAGACTTCAACAGCTCACAGATGGTGGTAAAGGCTTGGGATTTGGACTCAGAGGACTGGATCCCAACTARTTCTCCAACTGAGTAGTTTTGAGGTTTGAGGATATCACCTGGTCATTGTGAGCCTCAGCCATATAATTTCAAATTCACAAAATTCTCTGATCAAATATACTGGGGTAAGTCATATAGTCTATATCTGCTATTTCCTCAACTTCAAATTAAGTCAGTGTGATCTCTAGAGTCCCTTTCCAGTGTTAAAAGTTATCTAAGCTTTTGAGGGCTATTTGACATTTTTTCTGCTATAAATAGCATTTACAAACTTACAACACATTGAAAAGGATTGAGCCTACATAACAAGTAAAAGGAAGCTCTGTTGACGGAGTAAACTGGCTTGCTTAATTAACTAGGGCCCTCTGCTTCCTCTTTTAAAGCATACTCTCCCTCACCCTGAGCTGCTAAGCTTTTTGCTACTTGTACACCTGTTCCCAACAGCTGGGTTCTAGATGACCCAGAGTCAGCTGGGCTCATTAGTCTAATTAGGCAATTAAATTAAGTAAAATACTAATAAGATATGCATATGAAGTGAAAGGAGTTGTTTTTTTCTGAAAAATAAGACTAAATACTTTGGAAAGACTCAATGCCATGAGCTGCTAAAACAATTTTATTTAAATATGAGTGGGCAAGACAACCATAAAAGATTGAGGGGAAATAAAGCAGCATTGTGGAAGGATCCTGCGCATAGACGCTTCACAATTGCTCTCACTCTGCAGCAACCAGAACTAGAAATTGTGAGTAATGTGTTTTGAAAAAGATGATGTCTAATTCCAGAGGGCCCACCTTAAAAAAGAGAATTGATTTGACATTTAAACGGGGGGGGGGGGCATTTATGTCTAAGTTAAAATTAAATTGTAAGTTTTGTCTTTATTACTTACCTACTTTGTGATYGAGGGACCAACTGCTATAGAAAAGA